CATTTGTTTAGTCAATTACCAAAATTTGGATGATTTTGAATATTCACTTGAAAAGTTATCAAAGAAAAACATTTTTCATTTTGTAACTTCGAGGGCCCGTAACTTGGTTACGAAGACTTTTAGGAAAAAAAGTTATATGAAGTACTGGTGATATTTTGACCCCATCTATACATTCCCGAGAGGAAAAGAGGAAGTCCAGGGACACCCTGTATATTCATAAAAGTCGATAATTTGAATATATTGCATTGCAAAGTGGCGTGAAGAACCAATTCAACTGAGAATGCTTCTATGTAGTGAAATACGTATTGGAAATAAAATCTATACTGTAAGTTTATGATTATTATCGTGAATAGTTGAATAACTTTTTTCGAGATCAATTGCCCTAACACCAAACTGATATTTTTGCCCTCGACGCGCGTTTCGCCAACAAAGGATCCTCAGGATCAATTTTCTTCTCCTGAGGATGCTAACTTTGTTGGCGAAACGCGCGTCGAGTGCAAAAATATCGGTTTGGTGTTAGGGCAATTGATCTCGAAAAAAGTTATTCAACTTTCACACCAAAGGTTCCAATCTCATCGTTAATCGTGAATAATGTTAATTGATTTTCATCACGTAACAGGTCGATGTATTCAAAACTTAAAGAGAACAGGTTCACATATATAACTGTAGAATTTGGTGTGCAGCTTTTTGATGAAAATAAACAAATTATACCGGTCAACGGTGACTTCAATTATATTACTTACTCAAATGAAGAATCTGCGGAAGGCATTTGTTAAATATAATCTCTAAGGTTGGCAATAATATCCCACTGGGTGATACAGAACTTTCTTTGAGAACTAAAGATGTTATATCGCTAGAATTCACCAGCGCGCATCTCTGAACATTCTACCAAGCGAAAACTAATGAGTCTCGTAGCGTCGTTTAAAATCCATCCGAATAAACCAAAGCTGCAAGTCATCATTTGATACTAAAATCTATAGGTACACCACCATAATGATCTGAATAGGATTATAACTGAGTACTTCGAATGTTTTATTGGATAAACATTACAGGGTGTTACTTTGAAATCACCAGGTTTGACTAGAAAATAACATGATTTATGTTCCTCTTTTTATTTTTTTTCCTTCACAAATTAAACTACGTCCCCTTCAACATACTCTCCGCCAGTATCCCTGCACTTTTCCATTCAAATTTCCCACTATTCAATACAGTCATTTTCTGAAAGCATGTTAATACTTTTTGTCTTTTTTTTCTTTTACAGCTAGCTTCCAGTGTATGAAACATGATTTCGTCCAATGTTTCCTTCACTTCATGAAGCATAAAAAAGTCACGAGGTGCTACATCTGGTCAGGAAGGTGGATGTTCCAACACAGGGAGTCCATGCTAGGCTAAAAATGACCCCTAACAGTCAGTGCAGTGTGGAGTGAAGGGTGAATATTCGAAATGTTGCCGGCAGATGCTTTTGAAAAAATGTTTGTACTTACGTGAAATGATGAGCAAGTCATGGTTCTGAAAAAACGTGGCGCTCTACCTTCATTTCGAAATTATGGCTTTTCAAAAACTGAATGAACGTCACATTCTACCTTTTTTCTGCAACAAAAAATGATGGGATGCACATGATTTTATTCACTAAGTCACCTCTACACATTATTCCACTTTGCTTCATACTTTTTCCGCGCAATTTTTTAATACATTTTTTTTCAGAGCTATTTTCTGGTAGTTCATTGTGCAATTGACACAATTGAGGTTGACAATTCACATTTTGGCTGTTGCTGTGTTCAATGGACCATAGAGGCTCTGTCCAATTGTGAGACAGGTTGTGAACACTCTGTATAGAAATCCCTCTAATTTCCGCCCTATATCTCTCATACCAACCATCGCAAAAATCATTGAAAAACTAGTTAAAAAACGAAAAAGAGCCTGCATTTCAAAAAAGTGCTAAGAGGTAAAAAAAATCAAAAACGATGTATTAAAACAATGGTGTCATAATAATAATTTAATTGTAACATATAGACAAGTTTGGGGGATTTAGGGATTCAATTTATTAAGGTGAGTTATATCCAATCGAGTGATTTTCGAACCCCGAATATGTGGTTCAATTTATGACTTACCTTTTTGTTACACCCTGTATACATTTCAATTTTTTTTCCCTAGCCTTCAAAGAAGTACGAGTTAAGAATTTGAGAATTCAGCACGGGACAAATATGAATAGGAATAAAAACAATATAACAATTATAACAATATAAATCAGGACACAATACAACAGATATAGAAATAAACTAACGTCTTTAATACAAAAAACCAAATATGATTATTACAAGCTGCAAATAGGTATTGATTCTGCAGACAGCAAAAACTTTGGGGCGTAGTAAAACAATTAACTGGCTCAGAAAAAAAAAGAAACTCAAAATTTAATCATTGAAAAATGATGCAGACGAAATAATAAAAGATAAACATGACATTTCAAATGAATTTAATTCTAAATTTGCTAAGATGGGTAAGACGCTCGCTGACANTACATCCTTTGATTTCATCCCATCTCTTTAGAGATTGAGCATGGGTGTAACTTTTGACTAGTTCCGCAATTGTCGAAGTCATCAGGCCGTGGGTGCCACTGGGTCCTAAAATTCTTAGTCCAGCCGCTTCCTTGGCTAAAGAGTCGGCAATGCGATTACCTTTACTCCTGTCGTGCCCTTTAACCCACCTCAGGATAATGTTATTATCTACCGAGGCTTTGGCTAAATCTTGGTGGCACTCTAGTGCTAGCCCTGAAGTAACACGGTGTCTGTTCAAGGCTAATAGTGCTTGTCTGCTATCAGTGCAGATTGTTATGTTTTTGCCAGAAATTCCTTTCTTGGTTATTTCTTTTGTGGCGATTGGGATACCAGCCAGTTCTGTTTGGACCTGGTGGAATCACTATATCACGTATATTATCAAAAAACTACAGACAAATACTATATAGATTCAAATATTTGAAAAAAATACTGAAATATGACCAGCTGAAAACCTTGTACCACGCCTTGGTAGAAAGTCATTTGAGATATGGTATTTTGGGATGGGGCGACGCACTTAGAACGCATCTTAA